AAATCACTGCTGAAATCAGTAAAAGACTAGTAAAAGTAAGTTAGATTTGGACCTAGTCCTATCCTTATTATCTGATTAACTTACTTGCTAAGAATCAAATGCATTAGTCTGAATAAAAACAAAAAGAAGAAGGAATAAAAAAAAAAGACCTGAAGATATTAAAAGTACTCGGTGCAACTGGGCACTGCACCATGCCTTGAAAGAAATATGTATTTTTTCAAGGAACCCATGTCTGCTGGGTGGTAACACTTTTGCTACAGCTGGTTCTATTATCTCTGGAAAGTAACTAGCAAAATATTATTGAACTACTTCGACTCTTCAGCTCATCAGACCATTAACTTCACTGGGGAAGCTCTCACAGGTTACCCTGCTATAAATGAGAACAGATCAAGAAAGGCAATCCACAGAATGAACTAACTGTGATTTTAGGATTTAGAATATGTTAGCACCCTGAGCACCAATCTGTTGTATTTTGACTGATAACACCAGTAACAAAAACACAAACTCACATGAGCACTTACCTAGCTTATTTCGGTTGGAGAGCAATGTTGCAGTACAGTGCAGCACATGCGGGAGCGCAGCTTGGACAAGTTCCCAGCGAGAAATGCTCTGGATGGCTTCAGAAAGAGCTGGAGAAAGGCCATGCAGCTTGTTCTCTACTAAAACTCTTTCAAAAGACTAGAAGTAGGAACAAAGAAAAAAAGACACTGTATATCTATTTCTGCACATACCTTCTAGTACATACAGCATTCTCTTTTAAGAACCTGTAATCTCTTAAGTTTTCATTCTATAACTAAAACACACCTTAGAATATTTTTCCTGAAAGACACAGACTGTAGCTAAAGCTCACCAGACATACGGACATACCTGGCTAAGAAATGAATGGGCCGCTCAATATATTTTCTGTAATAAAAAAGAATTAAAGCAAGTATCATGTCTATATTAGCAAGTGCCGACATGAAGCCAGACTTACAGTTGTGCTGGGTATTAATCTGGCAACGCCAGTAATCCTGTTGGAAGTCACAGGAGCTAATGAAGCCTGTATTTATGGAGCTGAGAGCTGGATATTCTTCTCGCACACACACACACCCTCTTTCAGTTTCGTGTAACATAAAGGTTTAAATAGGGGCGTTGGGAAATGTTTCCCCCCCCTGCCACAAAAAATAATCCATGTACAAATTTTTTGTTGAGCCATGATGAACATTTAAAAGAGCTGATGGCTGCAGCAAGTTCATTATTTCCACCTCAAGCAACACAAAATAAGACTATCTGCCTTTGAAATCCGTAAGGAAGTTCCTTATTGCTAGTTGCTCCAACCATTTCAGTAAGTTCTTCCTCTGACCAGATACAAAGATCTCATTATAGGTCACAAAAGCAGTTATATTCCTTCACTGAAGTTCCTAAAGTGAAGAAATACGTTACTGATAATGCATGTCCTTGCCATATACCCGCTTAGCCTCCTGGCTACCTATTTGTTCACAAGCTGTTTCACGAATTTTATCAGGCTCTGGGCAAATAAGTAACTGTTGGCATTTATGACCTAACGGATGCTTCAGATGCCCTCATTCCAGATTCG